TCTGGCAAAACAACAAGTGGCAAGTGTTTGTATAATTTCCCCCTGCTGTGCCAGTATTCTGGTTAAAAGTAAGAGTAGTACAAATTATTTTATCCTAGTGGATTGCTGCTTTACAGATGAGCATGTATAGAATCTTGCTTTAGCTTGGTAAAGGTGGCTTTGAGTGCATGTTAACAGTACATACATTACATTACAGTTGAATATCACTAGTTGGTATTTGTAAGACAAACTTTCAATGATGGGATTATTGATTAGTTATACATTATACTACTAGTTTAAAGCAGTTCTGGAGGATGAAGGTTTTTCTTAAATACATTCTCTGCATTCAGGAAAAAAACCTTCTAAGTGTAGTCCCGCCCCCAGCCCACTTTGTATACTCTCCTGAGCCCAATCTTGATCCAGCATTATGCAGGAGAGCAGCAGCTCTCTTGGCTCTCTCCCTCCTCATAGGTTTACAGTCAGTAAGGAGGAAGTGGGGAATAGGGCCAAACCACACTCAGTGTGTCTATGGATGCACAGAGTTGGTTCAGCAGCAAGCCCACACGAGTGCCCCCCTAGCAGGTGACTTTCTATATTATTATTATTATTTAGAATTTGTATAGCGCCAACAGTTTGCACAGCACTTTACAATATAAAGGGAGACAGTACAGCTACAATACAATCAAAACAGGAAGATTAAGAGGGCCCTATTCATAAGAGCTTACAAGCTAATAGGGTGGGGCAAGTGGTACAAAAGTTTCTAATTGTGGGGGATGAGCTGATGGAAGTGGGCACTCGGAAGGGAGGAGTCAGGAGTGCCGGTTGGGGTTATATCTGTTATATCTTATATCTTTTTGATGGGTGCAAAAAAAACAGTTGTTGATTTTTCTAGAAATCTTGTGAGCTGTTAATTTCTTGTGCTCTCTGACTGTGTAGAAAAGAGGGTTATGAAGATGAGGATGGGGAGGCAATAAGGAGAGGTCTGTTTCCTTTGTGGTTCATCAGAAATGAACTAGGCAGGGCTGACACTGTTTGTTCAGGAATTTAGAGCTGTGTTGTCATGTCAAAGAGCCTGAGCTGGTCCTGTCTACAGCCTCAGCCAATCCCTGATTGGAAAAGTGATCAGCAGGGGGTTGAGAGAGGTATATAGGGATTGGAGCAGAGAATAGCAGGGTCCTTCACCTGCTGGAGTTTGACCCAGCCTGGAAGTGCTGTTAAACCTTCCAAGACTTTAAGAAGTCCTGAATGATTCTAGCTCACCAAGGAGCTGAAGGATCACTTCCAAAGTTGCAGGACGGTAGAAGTGCAAAATATTTCTGGCAGATCAACAGTTTTTTTTTGTATTCCCACCATGTTTAAAGGAAAACAAACTAGTGATGTTTGAAAAGTGCATGTATTGTACAGGTGTACAAAATAGTTTTTTGTCTTGATATACGTTTTAATGGAAGTATGCAAAATAACAATCATTTTAACTTTGTTAATTCATTCCAAACATTATATGAGCTATTATTGATATCCATGAAATACTGTAGCTCACTCAAGGTACCATAAAGTGTGCCTAAAGTGAAGTAAAAGTTTGTAAAAACTTGGATAACATAAAGGGCACCTCTGGGTGCTAACCCAGTATCTCAGTCCATCTTTTTTAAATCTTATGGTGCACTGCAATTGAATTTTCAACCGTCTTCTGTGGTCATCTTCTGAGCTTCACAACCAGCTAGACAGTATCATGAGTGACCATTAGTGAGGCAGGAGGGAGAATTATTTACCTACTAGAGAACCTTGAGTTTCATGGTTTGCAGTTGAAGGGCTGAGATGATATGAAGATATTTGCAAATGCTTGCTATGTCCTATCAGTACCATTTTGCTAACTTTAAGATCATCTGAGATTTGCTTTAGTCTTGGTTGAAGGTAATCCATTAAAACTAGATTACCAAGAGCTCCCTGCATGATGTTATGGAGAGTCTACCTCCTGAAGAGTGTTCTCTAAATGTTCTTATGTCAGTGTTTTAAGAGTCAAAATTAAAAAAATTTAACTGGTGGCTGTGAGAATGTTTTTAATACTAACACGTTGGTACATCAGGCTTTCTATATGTAAGAGAGCAAGGTGTTCCCGGATAAAATATCCTCTAATTATTTTTATATCTCTTTCATCACTGCAGATTTCATCACTGCAGATTGTAGTTCTGTGCTCCTTCATAAAGAAAAAAGCCTCTTGCTGTAACTGATAGAGCTTTGTTCTTCCTGCTGCAATTTCCATAAAGAAAAATGAAACATCCAACAAACAGAATTAGACTCCTTCCTAATTGTAAGAATAGGCTGCCAGATCTAGGAAATAAGTGCTGAAATCATTCCCTGTGGATGTTTTAGTTCAACAATATCTACCCAAAAGTGAAAAATAATTTTTGATGCATTGACAATAATTTTTGATTCATTTACTGTTTACTGATGAAAATGTTGCTTAAGAAACTATAACAACTGCTTGATGTTAATATGGATGTTTCCACCTGGGAGGGAGCACTTTCTTCACTATAACCTGATCTTTGACTGCACTCTGTCACAGGAAGACATAATAGCCTCTGGTGGCTGCAGCTGGCCTTGTACAATGGCAATGTTCCATGAGATGATTGCACCCTAGCATAGAGGGCTTGTGTTGGAACCTTTGGAAGGCTGTCAACATGTGCTGACAGCTGCAGCCATATAGATACCCATAGTGTCTACAGGTGACCTAAGACAAATTTTGAGTTGAAAATTCTTCACCAACCATGCTAGCACAATCTTATAAACAGGATAATGAATGTGATTGTTAATTTATGTAGTAAAAAAAGAATCAACTCCTTGAATATAAATAGATCTACAACACTAAAATATTCAGTCCCCGAGAAGCACTTGTCAAGAACATGCAGTTTACTAACTAAAGCCTGTGGGTTTGATCTACTAACAGCATATAGGCTGTTCACTTTGGAAGGGAGTTTTCACCTTGCAAAGCATACCTAATCATGTGAAAGGAAAATAAAACAGTGTTTTTTGCTTGCACATAATTGAATGACGAAAGGCAACAGAACTTCATCCTATTCACTAAGCTAAGGAGAAGTTCCCTTGCAAAGTGAACATCCTATTTGCCTTCAGTAAATCAGCCCTTAAATTTAATTGTGCTGAATAATCTAGTGCTATAATACAAATGGTCCTAGCCATTTAGAATAAATAAATGCAGCTCTTAGGTAAAGAGCTCTGTTTAAGGCTTCCTACTATTGATTCAAAGATTTAGATGGAAAACACAAAAATACTTTGATCCTCCATTGTTGAATACATGATAATAGAAGAACAAATACAAATGGTAATTGAAATGCTTATGTTGTTTCCAGATGATTTATACTGTATATGCTTATGGCCAATATATACTCAACTTGATTTGAAGCTATCAAGATTCAGAAATCAAAGAACTGTAAAATCTTGCTCAGATTGCATTAATATTTATAAAAGCTTAACTAATCAGCTAGGATATCATATCCAACTTGAATGTGCCATCCAAAGAGATTCTCTATCTCTTTACTGTAACATTCCAATTCTAGTAGGACTGCTTAAAATGAATGTTAACCATTGCTCTTCAAAACTGCGCACCTTGGACTTGTCACATTTTTCACATCTTAAAGAGTAATACAGAATGCATCAGGGGGTTAAGGGTTAAAGTAGACAAGATATGTCGAAATGGAATTTCCAGTCATACTAACGGATACTGATAGAATTTGCCCTGTTGTCTTATGATAAATATACAAGCTCAAAGCAGGACTTATCTGTAGAAGCCTTTGAAGAGTGACTTAACCCCTGCAGGAGTGACTGAGGTTTGGAAGGAGCTGCTTGCACTTCCATCCGGCCTCATGTTGCCCTCTGCTCTCCTCTCTGCTTAGATCTCTTTGTCTCTGGAACTCCTTATCCAATAGTGGATGTGAGCTGGATTTGATCCTTTGTTTATTGCTAGTGACGTCTCTTTGTTCATCTGAATTGAGAAGCTCGAAGTCAGTTGAGCTGAGCTAATGAGGGTTATTTGCTAACTCCTTTGTTCACAGGAGAGTATTCAATTGAACCGCTTTATGCTACTGTTTGCTCTTGAATTTATTTGTGTTTTTGAAATATTAGAAAAATCATAAATATGAATATGGTGAACAAACTGTAATCCACATGTTCATAGTGATATGAAGTGAAGTCATGCAACTGATTCGGTCATATTTTAGTACCAATATAAATATTAGAAAACATACATATGCAAATGAAGATTCTGAAACCCTACCTAAGATGTTTTCCTTCCACACTGTAAGAGCTCTTAGGTGTATATATATATATATATATATATATATATATATATATACTGTATATATATTCAAGTAGTCTGCTGTATGCATGAAACAAATCTTTATTGCACAGTCATACCTAGTCAGTCACTAATGAAGCTACCATAGGTAGGGGGCTGCAGCCTTTACTGAGCCCACACTGCCGTAGCCCCTGTGCCATCTGTAGGAAATCAGGGACATCTGCATACTAAGCTTGTGTCTAAGGCCTGTTATGTGCCAGCTGTTAAAGGAAGCTTGCCCACTCCTAGAAATACGCATAGATACTCTAAACTCAAAGGTAAAAGGCTGAACTTATTGAGCCACGTTATTGTCATGCCTACACTAAAATGATGCCAGACATCCTTAGATTTGCTTTATTTTTGCAATATCCAATACATATGTAATTGCTATAACTAGTACTATAACTGCTTACAATTTTAAATGGTTTACTATAATGCTAAGCAGTTTTGCCAAGACTTCAGAAAGCAGAAAATCTGGTGCTGGGTACATACTGGTTCTGTAAATATATGAAATTCTATTTTTCCCCCATTTAGGCAAGTAGAGGATTTTCAAAGCAAGTCAAAGTAACATAAAGTCTTATTTCTATAAAATAATGTATACATATAAATATATTTGTATTTACCATTAGACACTGGCAAGGCCAGTACCTAGGGCACCAAGCTCAACAATTTTAAAATGTTAACTTTTACTTTATATTGTTTCCCTCTTATGCCCACCTCTGATCATACTTGGCTACAGGGGCGGACTGACAACTCATGGGGCTCCCGGGCAATAGGGGATCATGGGGCCCCTGTGTCCTTGCCCAAACTCAAAAAAGCCAATGAAAAAGGTACCAGGGGCTTCTCATGGGGCCCCCTACTGACCCCGGGCCCTCAGGCAGTGCCCGAGTTTCCAAATGGTCAGTCCGCCCCTGCTTGGCTATATTCAGTAAGAGAACAGTAGGGGAAGAGGGTGCAGTGGGCATTGAGAGGAGTCATAAGACTCTTTAAAGTTCATGAAATGTGAAACTATATCTCTGTTCTCTTGTTTGGAGTTCAGTACACACGGAGGCTCCCTCCAATAGTGAGTTGTAGCTGCAATCGCCTCTAAAATAATTACATGACACAAGGGGTGAAGCTTGTACAAAAAGGTGTCCTTGGGCTGTCCATAGATAAATTGCTTTTTTTTTTCCAGCCAGTGCCCTGAATGAGAGAAAAAACAAAACAACGGATTCCTATATCAACACAATTGAGGTGAATAGAGAAATCCGCCTCGCTGAGACATTAGATTCTGACAGCTGGGATGCTCCACTGTCAGAATATACTGGTCGATTAAAATTTTCCAACAAGCTTCTGTCGGGCAGGAGACACAAGGTCTCCACTGAACTGGCCAAATGTTGGTCCATCTATGGTCAGAAACTATTGTAGCTATGATAGCCTGATGTTTGAATATAGCTCTGCATATAAGCTTTATGGGATTTCTACATATCATTTACATCTTTTGAACATAACGCACAAAACAACAAATATTTTTATATTTTTTGCATTTTCTATAACCTAAGCTAGCAAAATATTTTAAAAGCATAACCAAACATGTTCCTGATAACACATACATGGTATTTCCAACAATTCCAACAAATTGTAAAGAATTTATCGTCATTCATTTGATGGACAAATCATCATTAGTTAGCAAAGAGTTAGTAAAGGGTTAAAGGTTTCACTTCATGCAGCTTTGTACATGTGGAGGGATATCTCCATGTGAAAGGCCCAGGAACTTCAAGGTTAAATCCAAAGTCACTCTCTCTTATCTGCATACTCACAAGCAGTGTTTAGCAGATAAGTGCACAGCAACATTAGCAGCTCCTCATCCCTGCCTTTGTGTTCTACTTTGAACAAATAAACACTGCTTGGTGATGTAATCATTTTTGTATTATACACTGATTCATTTTGTTTCCCTCAGATGTGACATTGGTTTTCCAGTCTACAATAAATGTAATTTTTTTTTTGTTCTTGCACTTAAAAAAATTGCTTTGAGTACAAAGGGATCAAAACGGATGCCTATACTGTCATGTGTGGATTGTGATGTGAAAAGGACCATACAACTAGCAGTCCAAAAAACTGCACAGTGCTCCCACAAGAGAAGGATCATCCTTGCCAACTTACGGAAGCCATTATCAGGCCCTAGATAAAATATTCTTCCTTGGATCCAAAGATATTTGCCAATTACAGACCGGTGTCAAACCTCCCCTTTTTAAGAACAGTGATTGAGAATGCAGTTGCTAACAGGCTGAAAGCCTGGCTGTCAAATAAAATCTTTGACAAATTTCAATCTGTCTTCAGGAAAAGACATATTACAGAAACAGCACTAGTCTCTCTATTAAAGGACCTATTGAGAACTAGAGACAAGGGAGAAGGCTCCATCCATATCCTCCTTGAGCTTCTTCTGCTGCATTTGACACTATGAAGTTGATTTACTAAATGCAAATAAACTGTTTGCATTGCTGGGGAATTTTCCCTAGAGCTTAATGAATGAGGTGAAGCTCATTTGACTTCCATCATCCAGTCATATGCAAGCAAAAAGCTGTTTTTTTTTAAATTTTCCTTGCACATTATTGGGTATTCTTTACAAAGTGAAATTTCACCAAATTCATAAAGCTCTGAGGAATGTTACAGAGTGAACAGTCTATTTGTCTTTAGTAAATCAACCCCCATGAACCATAACATCTTACTGATCCTACCGATTACAACCGGTGTCGAAAGAATACAGTTGCTAATAGGCTGAAAATTTGGCTGTCAAATAAAATCTTTGTGAGATTTCAATCTGGTTTCAGAAAGAAAAATAATCACAGTACAGAAACAGCATTGGTCTGCCTACTGAATAACCAGTTGATGGCTAGAGACAAGAGAGAATGCTCCATCCGTATCTTTCTCAATCTTCCTGCTGCATTTGATACTGTGGACCATTGCCTGGACAAGGTCATCTAGCGCCCAGAGAAAAGATGGCAAACGGTGCGCCCCCCCAAATGTATGAGCAATGTGTATCAACAAAAAGCTCCTCACTTACCCCCTTCAAAAAGACTAAAGCACTAATCTTCACACTTACCCCCCAAGCAAAAATTCCTTTTGCAAGTCAAATCCCCCCTCCCAGCTCACATCCCCTCCCTCCCCAAATCTCCCTCCTAAAACAAATCCTCTAATTTTCAAAATCCCCCTATGAGCATAAATTCCCCCCTCCAAATCCCCCTCTCTCAGCACAAATTCCCTCAAATCCTCTCTACTAGCAGTAAGCCTCCCCACAGTTTCCCCTCCTGGTATAAATCCCCCCAATCTTCCCTACTAGCTTAAATACCCCCCCTATCCCTCTTCCTAACACAAAACCACCCTCCTAGTACAACTCCCCCCCCAAATCACCTCTTCTAGCACAACCCTCCAAATCTCCAACTGCGCCCAGGGCCCACCTACTGTGGACCATAATATCTTACTGAATCACATAAAGCTGCTCTGTGGTCTAAAGGGTTCAATGCTCAGCTGTTTCAAATCCTTTTTGTCAGTTCACAAAGGAATCACATCAGGAATACAATCATCCTCTTCAATTCCATTACATTCTCTGAATGATTTTTAAAACAGACTCATAGCAACACTTGAAAAATCATTCTCTTCAAAGATTCCAAAAACAATTTGATAAACACTTAGAGTCCGCAGGGAGAAATTATTATTAATATCTTATGCATATAGCCTTATCTAACCTATATTTTCAGTTCTTTTAATGCCTCGAAATTTTGCATAATGGCTGTGGCTGTTTTACATAAATACACATGGTTGCTAATGCAGCTAAGACAGCCCAGGTGTGATCTTTGGTGCCATCTTAGGGGCAGTAGTCAACCTCACTTATACCGTTTGTCCTGGCTCTTCCTTCCAAACACTAAGGGGCTGATTTACTAAAACTGGAGAGTGCAAAATCTGGTGCAGCTGTGCATGGTAGCCAATCAGCGTCTAACTTCAGCTTATTCAATTAAGCTTTGACAAAAATCCTAGAAGTTGATTGGTTTCTATGCACAGCTGCACCAGACTTTGCACTCTCCGGTTTTAGTAAATCACCCCTTTGATCACGTAAGTTCTATCTGCAGTCTGTGTTAAGCCAGTTATACTGTAGTCAGGCATATGTCTAACCAAGAGGAACAGTGTTGACATATCTGTTCTTCCTCTGTTGCATTGGAGCAATTCTGGAACCTGGCTCCATCTTCTTCCTGAATTGTCCATATGTGGATAGAAGGATATTATCACATCAGATTGCTTAGCGATTTTCCCAGAATGTTGGACTTTCAATGTTTGTGATGTCAAATCTTTTTTCAGTAGCTACAAGCTCTTCTTAGCACCTACATGGCCTGATGATCCACTGATCATTTCAACTGGTGCTACAACATTTTATATCACTTAAAACCGCCAGAGTATAAATGCTCTTGTTGACTAAACTATAAACTAAATGTCATCTATTTCATTCAGTCGTCTATTAGAGGCAGCCATGGGGAGGTCAGAATCATTATTTTATTGAGTTATACTGTGTATGATTTAAGCACTGATTGGGCATAAGGGAGATAATTACCTGACATCCAAGTCTATGTTCGCCTCAGTTATCCAAACCTGCTGTTTATCTTATAACAAGAATATAGTAAGAATATTCCACAATGAGAGGGCATATTCCTTGCTCTCTCTCCTTTAGATGCACCACTAAGCAACTTATCCTCTCCCTTGTTATATGTCGCCTTGACTATTGTAACTCCCTCCTCATTGGCCTACCTCATCGCAGGCTATCCCCTCTTCAATCTATCATGAATGCTGCTGCCAGACTCATCCACCTTACTTACCGTTCTGTATCAGCCACCCCTCTCTGTCAATCCCTCCTCTGGCTTCCCGTTGCCCAACGGATAAAATTCAAAACATTAACAATAACATATAAAGCCATTTATAACTCTGCCCCAAATTACATCAACGATCTTGTCTCTAAATATCACCCAAACCGTACTCTCCGCTTCTCGCACGACCTCCTGCTCTCTAGCTCCATTGTCTCCTCCCATGCTAGTCTCCAGGACTTCTCCAGAGCTTCCCCCATCCTCTGGAATTCTCTACTCCAATTTATCAGACTATCGCCTACTCTGCTCACTTTTAGGCGATATCTGAAAAACTATCTTTTCAGGGAAGCCTATCCTGCCGTCAGCTAACAATGGAATCTTCTACTCTTCCTACCAGGCCATCCCCCACAGTTACTACATTTTATACCACTAGCCCCTCCCTCCTAGATTGTAAGCTCCTAGGAGCAGGGCCCTCCTATCCCTTTTGTATTGAACTGTATTCTTGCTGTATTGTCTCATATTATATTGTAAAGTGCTGAGCAAACTGTTGGCGCTATACAAATCCTGTATAATAATAATAATAATGCAATAGAACATGCAGATAAGCAAATCCTCACAGTATTTTCTATTCACCTGCCATATGAATGGTCATACACACACAGGGTCCAACAAACATCAAGTGAATTTATTAATAAATGTGATTTGCTATTGAGTGCATGCTCCTGTGTCCACATTTATGACAGCTAAGCAATGGCATGCCTAAAATAAAAATGTTGTTTTCACTAATGGTCTATTTGACAATTGAATAGAGAAAAACAAACAGAGGGCGCATCAGCCTAGTGCATTACCTTAAAAGTATGTTTAATGAATGTAAATAATAAGTATTGTACTCACAAATAGTCAATAAATAAAAGGCACATCATAAAGGAACAGCTCTGTCCAATTCGCACTGCATGTCTGTCTGTAATGAGAACTCTGGACATCCAAAAGGCTGATGCGTTTTGAGGACTAGCCTCAGTGGGCTCTGAGGAAGAGGCTAGTCCTCGAAACACACCAGCCTTTTGGATGTC